TCTGATAAAATCTAGTAAGTTCTAGGTATTTTCTTTTACTAGTGTTTACTTTGTGAAAAATAAGCCATAGGGCCGGGGATTTAGCTCAGTGGTTCTGCCACCGGCCTTGCAAGTGCAAGGACCGAGTTGATCCCCGGTACAAAAAAAAAAAAAAGCCATACTTTTCTGCTACAATCTATAAAAACTCTTAAAGTACATTACATATATTTACTTTTATTCTTTTACAATATGCACATTATTTACATTGTTCCATCTTGTGATAAGTAAACATTTTTTTATTTTTCTGCATTTTAGTTAACACCTAAAATGTCTGAATTAGAAGATGATACTAATGAGGAATTATTACACTTGATCTTAGCCGAAAGGCCAAGAAGCAATGATGAGGAATTATTGATTAGTAAATTAAGTGATATCAAACCCAAGGATTACTTTTTGTAATAATCAGATGGTGATTTTCATTCCAAGAATGAAGATGTCACACCATTCAAAGAATTTGTTGAGGTGAATATGGAAAATCCAACTCCTGCTCCTCCCAGGTTTCCATGCACCAGTATACCAGGTGTAAATTTGCCATTTAGACAAGATACAGACCCAGACAGTTTATATTACTTTAAATATTTCCGGGATTTGAGTACAGTAGAAACTAACAGATATGCAGATCAAACAAAGCCTTCTGGAATTTTAAGGAAATTTTCACGCTGGAAGGACTGGAAATCAACAGATAATGCAGAAATTTTTTCTCTCCATATTTATTCTTCAAGGAATTATGTTATATGTAAGTCAGAATGTGAGTGGTACTGGTCTAAGAATGACTGCATTAAAACACCCTTTTCCAATAAAGTGATGTCATATAAACATTTTGCATTATTGAAACGTTATATTCATTTTGTAGATAACTAGTTTTTTTTGTTTTTTTGTTTTTTTGCAGTACCGGGGATCGAACTCGGTACTTGGTGTTTGCAAGGCAGGCGGGGCAGCACCACTGAGCTAAATCACCAAACCAGTAACACTACTTTTGATGCTAGTGCTCTCCTGAATCCTAAATTTAGTAAGTTATGGCCAACTGTTGAACGTCTCAAAGTTTTCTGTTGCACTTACACTTGAGCAAGACATCACGGTTGATGAGCGTCTCATAAATGCTATGTAGGCATCAACTGGGATGGATTCACTTTATGCCCCTAAAAAGAGTTAGCTTTGGTATCAAATCTCACATGCTTTGTGAATCCAAATCTGGGTATATTTGGTCTTTCATATTTCACCCTGGAAAGGGCACAGTACTTGATAACAACTGTAAAGATCGTTCCATGGGTACATGAATTGTTTTGACTTCTGATCAAACCATTTTTGTATGTGGAACATTGTCTTATTACAGATAATTTTTATACTTCTCCAGTGATATTCCTTGTTTGTTTTTTTGCATGTGAGTCAGGGTCTCACTATGTAGTTGAGACTGACCTGGAACTCACTATGTAGCCCAGGCTGGTCTTGAACTCACAGCGATCCTCCTGCCTCAGCCTCCCAAGTGCTGGGATTACAGGCGTGTGCCACCATACCCAGCTCCAGTGATATTCTTTTATAATACTAAATGGACACATTTGGGACATTGAAACTGAATAGGAAGGATCTGCAAAAGAAAAAACTGAAAGGGGAAGAAATGTTAGCATATCAGAGAGGAAACGTCTGTTATGAAATGGAAAAACAAAAATGTGTCTTCACTGTCAACTATTCATAATACAGAAATGACAGAATTGGAACAAAAAAAATTCCAATAGGGCCGGGGATTTAGCTCAGCGGTTCAGTGGCCTGCCTTGCAAGTGCAAGGACCCGAGTTCAATCCCTGGTACCAAAAAATAAAAAAATTCCAATAGTGGTCAATGATTTTAATAATTCTATAGGTGGTACTGACCAACATCTAACAAGCTATTCTGTAATCAAAGAGCAAAGAAAAAATTAGATATTTATGCACCTTCTGAACCAACCAATATGGAACCCACTAAATAAGGGGGTTCAAAAAGTCATTTGCAATTTAGATTAGGTCCAATAATTTAAAAATACGAGATAGCAAAACACCAACCAGAACGTTCATCAATGGCACCTTCACCATTACAGTTAGTGGGGAGACATTTTATTGAAATGATGGGTATATTTTTTTTTCTTTTTGGTACCAGAGATCGAACTCAAGACCTTGTGCTTCTGAGGCAAGCGTGGTACCACTGAGTTAAATCTCCAGCCCAACATTTTCTTGAAATTATACCACCCACAGAAAAAAGAGAAAGGCTAACATGACAATGTAAAGTATGTTATTCAAAGCAGGACAATAGTACAAAATGAATTCAGAAAGAGACTAGATACTACTACTGTCCAGATTGTCATGCATTGTATATTCAGTGTTTTAAGGTGTATCTATAATACTTAGAAAAATTATTGAACAAATTCAGTAAAGTTGTCATTTTTGTATTTCAATATATTATAAAACTCAACAAAAAATACACTATTTTTGGTCAACCCATATTTAAATAATTGGACTAGTAAGTGGCTAAACCTTCACTAAGAACATGTTTTTTTTTGATACTGGGGATTGAACTCGGGTCCTTGTGCTTGCAAGACAGGTGCTGGAACCACTCAGCTAAATCCCCAGCCCAAGAACATGCTATTTATAATCAAGAAAATAAAAAGGTGTTCATTAGAGACACAAAGTCTCACTGTATAGCTCAGGCTAGCCTCAAACTTATGATCTTCCTGCCTCAGCCTCCTGAGTGCTGGCATTATAGGTATGCAGCATGATGCCCAGCACAGAGATTTTTCTTTTTTTTTGGTACTGGGGATTGAACTCAGGACCTGGTACCTGTGAGGCAGGCAGCAGAACCACTGAGCTAAATCCCTGTCCCACAAAAAGATTTTTTTGGGGGGCGGGTTTTTGAGACAGGGTCTCACTATGTAGTTGAGACTGACCTGGAACTCACTGTGTAGCCCAGGCTGGTCTCGAACTCAGCCTCCCAAGTGCTGGGGTTACAGGCGTGCGCCACCACACCCGGCCAAAAAGATTTTTAAGAGTAACCTGAGACATGGGCCAGGATGTAGCTCAGTGGCACTGTGCCTGTCTCACAAACATAAGGTCCTGAGTTCGATACCCCATACTGCAAAAAAAAAAAAAGAGTAACCTGAGACAACACTTCCTGATACTGAGAACAGCGGGCAGTGCCTCCCACTGGCCCTTTAGGTGCCATGATAGACAGTTCACTGACAGCATCCCTAAAATAAAGACAGCAACAAAAGAGGTCCATCCCCAAGGATAAGCCGTCAACACAATCCTTCCTCTTCTGCCTAGGTGCACAGCTGGCTCCCTGCTGGTTTGCCTTCATCTAAGGGTCAGTTTTAGCTGTATGAAGAAAAGGAATTTTACTTATATATAAATATATCAGTTTCATCTTGGTTGTGTTTGCGGCTCTAAGACAGTTTTGTTTAATTCTTCTATTTCATTATTATTAATCTCTTAGCAGTGCTTTTTTGTAATAAGGTAAGATACTGAGATCTCAATATTTAATTTTTTAGTTTTGCCCAGTATGGGGATTATACCCAGGGAGCAATGAGCTACATCCCCAGGCCCCTTTTGAGATAGGATCTAGCTAACTTGCCAAGGTTGTCCTTGAGCTTATGCTCCTCCTGACTCAGCCTACCGAGGCGAGTAGAGATGATGGGCATACATCACCATGCCCCTCCTGACATCAACATCTACATTAAGCACCACTAGCAGGGTGTGGCGGTGAACATCTGTCATCCCAGCCCTGTGGGAGGCTAAGGTAGGATTGTGAGTTTGAGTTTAACCTTGTCAACTTAAGTGATTTAGCAAGGCCATGTCTCAAACAAAAAAAATTTAAAGGGCTAGGGATACAGCTCAGTGCAAGGACCCTGGGTTCAATTCCATTGCGAGGGCCGGGGATTTAGCTTAGTGCTTCCACTGCCTGCCTTGCTGCCTTTTAAGCATAGGGACCTGAGTTCGATCCCTGGTACCGGGGTGGGGGTGGGGCAAAAAGAAAGAACAATTCCCATTGCGAAAAAAACCAACCAGCTATGCAACCTAGAAATCCTTAAAGCAGAGGAGCACATGTTCTACAGAAGCCAGAGACTGACAGGACTTATGGCTTAACAGAGACCAAATGAGTGCCTTCAGGAAGTTTCACACTGCTCCAGGGCAAATCAGACTAGACAAGGCCCAGAATTGTATTCCACAGAAGGCTGTGATGGTTAAGCTTGACTATCAACTTGATTGGGTGGGGACTGCCCAGGGGTTTAATGGAGCATACTTCTGGGAGAGTCTGGGTAGGTCACGGGGGTATTACCTCCTGGTCTGAATCTGTTTGCTCGCCTCTTGCTCTCTGGCACCGTCTCCCTGCTTTGTTTCTCAGCTGCCAGGAAGTGAGCCACTCTGCTCCGCCAAGCCATTCTTCCATGAGGTTCCTGTCCTAGAGGAGCAAGCCAACCACAGACTAAACCATGAGCCAAATTAAACCTCTCCTTTAAGTTATGGGTGTCAGGTGCTGCGTCCCACTGACAGGAAAGATGACCAGTGCAAAGGCAAAATAAATTAAGTCACAATTTGGAAATGCGGATCTAAACAAGATGAATTTTGGAGATTTAACAATAATTATTTGGGTTTCAGAAAAGTTTAACTAATTTTGATAGTTGTAAATTACAGGGTCAGTTTGTTAGTGTCATCCCTATTATATGGCAGTAAAACCGCATGGTCTGCACGTAAGTGCTCACATTATTTACTGGAGGTGGAGAACAGGTATCAAACTCTTATGAAAGTGGCATTAAATCAATAAGCTACTGGGAGGAAGTAGGTAGGTACATACAAAATTCATTCAATTTTTTTAGAAAGTTCTTACCAACTCTGAATCATCTATTATAAAACTTTTTTTTTTTTTGGTACCAGGGATCGAACTCAGGTCCTTGTGCTTGTGAGGCAGGCGCGGTAACCAGTGAGCTAAATCCCCGGCCCAGAATTTTTTGTTTGATGAGGGACTGAACATTAGATCTTCACACAGCTACATCCCCAGCTTTCTAGCTGGAATTCTGCATTTAATTGATGCACATATCTCAATAATTGATTCCTCTTACAAGTCAAAGACTAAGAAGAAAAAAAGCCACAAACCAGTTTATTTCCAGCAGGGACTGCTGCAAAACTTTATGCCAAAAGATCTAGTATGATGCTCCAACTAACTTTAAAAACTGGCCTAGAAAATACTGAGGATTCACTCGTTCCAAATGAAACATTGTTAGGGGGACCTCAAAGTAACCTAATTAACGAAGAGAGGGCTCGAGGGTTATACACAGTGAAAGACAAAAAGGCAAATGGATTGGAGAAATGAGGAAACATGGTCTCCAAAGCCGCAGGAGGAGCTGCAGCGAGTTCAGTGGTGAAGCTCTTGCCTATGAGGCATGAGAACCTGGGTTCAAACCCCAGACCTAAGACAAGGCTGGGCATTCGCTATTTTAAGCACCCGATTTGAGGTAATCTACAGTAAAGCCAAAATACAGGGAATTTCATGAAAGGGCAAGTAAACCTCCCTTCCATTAGCTTAGTCTTTGGGATTCCAGCACAGAGGTGAATGAAGACTACTCTTGTAGACAGGGCTGTGCAAGCAGAGTACGCAGTAAGACAACAGCTGATGTTACAGCTCCAGCCACGCTATCTCGGTACTAGGGCACATTTCTTAACTTGCACTAACTCCCTTCTGCCAGGTTCCATTATAAAAGTATGCCTTAGAAAGCGGGGGCAGGGATTTAGCTCAGCGGTTCGATGGCCTGCCTTGCAAGCACAAGGACCCGAGTTCAATCCCTGGTACCAAAAAAAAAAAAAAAAGGATGCCTTGAGTCAAAATGAAGAGGAGCCTGTTTTTTTCTGGAGATAACTCAGGTGTTCATTCCTTTATTAATATGATTTGACAGTTTTATTTATAAAATGAAACAGCTCAGTTTTCTTCCTTCTGGGCTATAACCTACATCAGCCTACGACCACAGAAAGATGAAAAAAATTTGTTTTAAAGTAATATGAACCAATTCATACAATAAGTTGGCACATTTTCTTACTAATGCACTCCATTTCTGCACTATTTTTCTCCCAATATAAAAGCAGACTTCAAGAGGGCTGAAGACTTAGCTCAGTGGTTCCGCCACCTGCCTCACAAGTGCAACGTCCCAAGTTTGATCCCCAGTACCAAAAAAAAGGTAGACTTCAAGTGATCTTCCTAAGACACAAAAAGGACTTAGGTCAGAATCATTCATCTTTTACTTTATTCTGTCACACAGTACCTCTCACTATGGGCCTACATTCACAGCAAAGTCCTGTGATTATGATCGCCCAAATCCATGAACAAGGAAAAATAAGGAAAAAAAATTTTTTCTTCCTGGTACCGGGGATTGAACTCAGGTCCATTGTGCTTGTGAGGCAGGCAGCAGCACCACTGAGTTAGATCCCAGGCCCTCAAGGAAAGTCTTTTTAATTTGCAGGAAGGACACCACAGCCCAGCCAATTAGCAATGTAGCATCTATAAGAGGCCAGTTTCCTACCTGGACCATTTTCCTCCTCTCGTTTAAGCTTCAATGGTTAGATCCAGGGCTGGGGATGGAGCTCACCGGTAGTGTTTTCCTAGCATATGTGAGGGCCTAGGTTTGATCCTTAATACCACACTCAAAAGATAAGTAAGCCTTAAGTCTGCTCATTTTAAAGGAAATATAATGACATACTAATTTAGACCTACAACTAGCTGAGGGGTGTAGCTCAGAGGTAGCGCACAGGAGGGTGTGCATTCGTTCCCCAACACACCCACACACGCATGCATACACACACACACATGCAAAACTAAAAATAAGGTCTTTTAGAGCATCTTTCTCTGGGTTTTACGATGACTAGGCCAGTGTGGGCAAAATGAGACAAATCTCTTCAGGTTCAGACAACTCAAGAGTTTGAAAAAGGCCTTTGTTCTAACACATCTTAGGAGAAACATGTAGGCAGTGACCACCAAACCAAGATGCTGTATGAACTTGGCTCCGATAAACTGGAGACTGGGTGGCTTGACCTTATGAGAGTACAAGGGCCGCGTGTGGTGGCACACACCTGTAATCCCAGTACTCAGTACTCAGGAAGCTGAGGCCAGCCTGGGCTCCACAGTGAGTTCAAGGTAAGCATGAGCCACACAGCAAGACCCTGTCTCGGGAAGAAGAGCGTGATACCAGAGCAAGGCAGCGGCAGGGAATCTATGGCACGTGTGCTGCAGCCAGCTGCTTCTCAGCACTGAAAGCTCTAAAACATTCACCATCACTGCACCGGAGGCTTAAAGTTAGTTTTGACATCACACATAGATTCGGAAAGAAGCCCCCAGAGGCTGCGTCAGTCGGCAAACCCCAGCCAAGGACAGATCCTGTGTTTCCCCACCCGTCCAGGTCAAGGAGCAAATGCACCTACAAGGTAAAGCTGCCAACAGGCTCCCTACCAACTGTGCGGCAAGAGACAGGGAAAAGTTGGGATATCCAAGACTGGGGAACGCAAAAGGCAAGCTGAAGTCAACTTAAACAGGCCTTGCAAAGGAGGAACATCAGCGCCACAGCTGCCTGGCAAGTGCCAGGCCCTGAGTTGGATTCCCGGGATGGGGACAGGGTTAGGGGACCAGGACAACAAAGCTTGGGATGTAGCCCAATGTTAGCGCCCTTGCCTAGCTTGCATGAGGCTCTGGGTTTGATCCTCAGCATAGGAAAAATAAAATCAGCCATGATGAGTGTAAATTGTTAGGCACTGTAAGCAGGTACCAATAAAAATTTTTTAAAAAGGAAAAAGTCAGATGAAGGGTTTTACTCTGTTTTGTTGTACTGGGGGTTGAACCCAGGCCTTCTCAGTGAGGTACAGCTCCAGCACCCATGCCCTTTTATGTTGAGTCAGGGTCTCTTTAAAAGTCACTAAATTCCCCAGGCTGAGCTTAAATTTACAATCATCCTGCCTCAACCCAGCAGAGCATTGGGATTACAATGGTGGGTCACTTGGCCTGGTTCAGTTAGAGGTCTTATTTTAAAACAGAACATGCACAAATGGGCAAAAAAAAGAAATGGCAGTGGCCTCAGACTTTGGTGGCAGGGGTGGGGGGAAGAGTCCATCAGATGCTTGGAGATCCTCAGTTGGGGTGAATGAGCTGTCTTTATCCACAGGATCGTGCACCGTGTGTCTCAAAAGCAGTTATACGGTAAGGTCCACATTGCCTCCAATTCAACAGACGGCAGAACCCAACACACGTTCCACCGATCTGCCAAACCACAGCTGTAGCACCTCAGCTGACTACCACAGCTCTCCGCTTGGGCTTGGAGTCTCCAGTCTACCTCCAAGCTCGATTCAGGAGTTTCACCTGTGCCAACCTCTTAGTGATCATAGTGGCAAAAACCAGGCCAAAGAGGACACTGCTGATCAACACGTAGTCATAGTCATCCTTCAGGACATCAAACTGTTTGGATGGGTAGACTCGAGTTTGGTAAATGTCCAAACCATAGGCTACGACCTGGAAGGCAAATGGAATGAGTCAGGAAGAAAGGCAGCCAGTGAGCCACCACGACCTTAGACGCAGGTGAAGGAGGAAACAGGCTCCCGAGCTGTTCTAAGGGTGGTGTGGACTCCACTCACCAAACATGTAGACTCTAGGCCCGAGGGAGCTGTGTAGATACCACGCATTCGAGAGACGGTCTGATTATAGTTGATGAATCGCTCTGCGTGGATCTGTACATCTGGAGAATAGGGGATTAGGTTCTCCTCTCTGCAAAACAGGGACAGGCACTCTGAGAGCCATTGTAAAAGGATGTCCTGGCTGTCCTGGGTCTTCGGAGGGTTCCGTACCTAACATACCCAACCTCAGCTCCCCTTCGAGGTCTACATGCATCAGGTAGTTAAAAACTTAGCAATTTAGCAAACGTTAGGAAGGACGACAGGAAAGAAGGCGTTTGGATAGTAAAGCTGAGGTCTGAATTCCTACCTTGTTCTACATCTGAACAGAATATGATCCAGCCAGCTGACATTTCCCACCACAAGAGGGAAGTAAGGGCCACTTTCGAACCAGCACTCCGGGCCACGCGGCCAGCTCCGGCTCCCAGGTGACCCCGTCCCATCCCCTCTAGAAGCCCCAGTTATCACCCCGTCTCTTCCCGCTTCACAAACTACGCTGCTCTCTACTCCACCTGGGCCCACGATGCGGCTCCTCTGTCCTTCCCAGGGTTCTCATGCCCATGACAGCACTCAGGACAGAGATGAGAAAAGAGAGGGCGGTTGTGGAACAGAAATCGACACTGCCGTGAACGAGTTTGGCCTCCCCACATGACCTGACCCCCAAGACTTCCTTAACACCATTTCCCAGCCTTTCCACCACTGCTCCAGCCACTAGCCCTGTCCTCAGCAGACATGATGTCAGGGCCTGCGTGCTGCCTGTCCCTGTGGCCTGTGCAGTTTTCCCTGGCTATCACTCAGCAAGCTCCTTCACCTCCTGAAGGTCCCGACCAAAGCCACCTTCTCAAATGGGCTTTCTAGGCCACCAGATCTCAAAGTCACCCATGCATATCCCTCCCCATATCTTCAACAGCCCATCCCGTAATGTATTTTTCCCCTTAGCTTACGGGTACCTAACATGGCATATATTTTGTCATCTATTGTCTGTTTCCTACCAGAACACAAGCTCCACGAAGCCAGACTAAGGACCAACGCTCACGAGGGAAGTCTGGTTCCCTAGTAAGAGCCTCCAGCCCTGCCCACAGGGGTCTTACCTGCTTTGTTCTGTTGGGATCTCAGGACGCCGGGGATCTAGTAAGGCCTTAGGGAGAGAAAGAATTGCTCCGGAAGGTAGCCCAACTGCACAAGGAGAAGGGAATGTTCACATTTAACCAATTCCAGATGAGGACCAATTACCAAAATATTGTACAGAAATCTTAAATATAGACTTTAAAACAACCCTACTAAAGTCAGTGAGGCTCCTTTCAATATTCAAAACAGTAATCAAATAATACGCATGGGTCTGAATGGGTTCCCACTTTTGAAGATACCAGCTTCTACATACATCACCCCAAGAGATCAAAAGATAAAGTTTAACACTCAGAGCTTGGTATAGCAGTGCACACCTGTCAATCCAGCACTCTTGGAGGCTGAGGCAGGAGGATCACAAGTTCAAGCCCAGGTTGGGCAACTTACTGAGTCCTCACCTCTAAATAAAAATTTTTAAAAGGTTTGGGGAGGTAGCTCAGTATTAAGGCTCTGGTTCAATCCCCAGTACCACCACCAAAAAAAAAAAAAAAAAA